AAGCCTCTGCTTTCATAGCACCCAGAGCTCGCAGCTTACTGCAACCCCGAGGTTAGATCTCTTGGACAGGTACCCCATAAGCCAAACGTGTAGACGTAAGGATCCATAGCTTGCAGCTTACTGCAAACCTTAACCAAGAGTGTTAAGCACAGATTACCTATGAGCCAAAGTGTAGGCATAAGTAATCCCAACACTAAATATAAACTTTGAAAATTTATGTCTCGGAAGTCTATATAATACTATCGAAGCTAGGAAGATTCTATCATGTACTCTTCGAATGCTAGAGCTAGGAAAGTTCTACTATGTACTCTCTAGTAGAAAATATCTATAGTTTTTTTAATTAAAAAATAATAATAATAATAATAATAATAATAAAAAAAAAAAATTCCAAATTAGTAAAGAGCTCAAATCCGGTACTTGCCCAAATCTTCGAAACGAAGTGCCATATCACGTGACTAAAAGCGAAGCAAAGAACTTAAGCCAATTTCTTGGTTCTTAGCATATATGCAATTTACCAAACAGCCTATTTCTTTATTATTTAATTTTACTTATTTATTTATTTATATTTAATTTAATTCAATACGCATACATGAACCCAGTTCCAATATTCTAAATATACCCAAACCTACCTCTATTCGTTTTATCCTACCTAATCTATTCAATCCGTTCTCAACTTAAAAACTCTCTTCTCCAACCTAATCTACTTTCTTTAACACATTCCATTTATTTTAACCTTAATCCTGATCCCAAATTAAACCCAATTCTCTAACTCCAATATAAATACCCAGAATTTATTTCTAATCTTATTTCCCTAGTATTAAACCATTCTTAACTGAACCCAATTCAATTCCTTCTCTAAATTAAAAATCTAAATTCTCTATCCATTCGCAACGTTAACCCAATTCTGATTTCCTAACCCTAACCTAAAAACCTGTTTCTAACTATTAGATTCCTTTTCTTATTCTAAATACTAAACTATTCATAGTAAGATCCTATTTCCCACTATTTAACAAATCTACCTATCGGATATTTGTTTCACACCTAGAGACAATGATCAAAGTTTAGAGATTCTAACTAGAGAACTCTAGACGATCCCTTAAACTCCCTTGGTCTCCAACAATGATACTGAAAACAAAAAACTATGTATCATTATCTAATTTATAATCTATAGAATAATCAGAAGCCTTATATCGATTATTCAGAAGAACTCAGCTAGCAAGGAAAAAGGAAGCTTGTAAAAAAAAAAAAAAAGAGCTAAGTTATAAAAAAAAAAAGACAAAACAAAAAGGATACACTGCTCCCACGAAGTTTCCAACAAAAACCAGAAGGAAGCAAACCTACAAATTCTTTCAACCTAATAGCGCCAAAGTCCTAATTTCAGCACATATCTATAATATTCGGCTATTCGATATTGTATTTGCTGCCAAGATCTAAAAGAACCTAAATTTACCTCCGCACTTGGATACTAAGGCCTGAAAAAAAAAAAAAAAAAAGCAACAAAACAAATATCAAAAAAAAAGATATATTGCTTTTGTGAAGTTCCTGTATCCTATATTACTTTGCATAACTTTTCTGTTAAGCTTTCAGTTAGCACCAACATCAACCCTTTGGTGGTTCGAACTGATCCCAAAGACTATTTGTCTAATTCGCCTATCAAAGCCCTGAGGATTAGACAAAGTAAAATATCTGAAAAAGCCAAATTAATAAAACAAAAAAAAAAAAAAACTTTTGTTCATAGTGTACTCAAAAAAAAAAGAGCCTTGAAATTATCTTAAAAGTTTCAAACTACTAAAACTCTAGAGGCCTATTCTAGTGAAAGAGCTCAACTAATCATAAGAGTCACGACTCTTCATAGCCTTGCCCTGACTGCTAAAGATCTGATTCGAAATCCAAAGTCAAATCGTGGTCAAGAATGGAATAATCCAGCCAAAGAAAGAAAGACTCTAACGAATGAACAAAGCCAAGAAACAAGAAGAAAAGACTAAGTCCAATAAAAGAAATACGAAAACTTAAAAAAAAAAAAACACAAATATAAAAAAAAAAAAAGAATACATTACTCCACTAACTTTACATTCTATCTTTGCCAAGTGAATTCAAGATACGGACCTATATATATTAAGCTGGAAGAAATAAGTAAACCCGGATTTACTTAACTCCCAAAATCACATGGGTGATTTCAAAACATCCAAACGTCAAGAGATGAATAATAAAAGTTTTAATAAAGCCGTGAAGTTGGTAAGACACGATCCACTAATACAATATATTAAAAGTATTAGCATATTACCAACAAAGAAACTACAAGACCAACAGTTAGAAGCGACCTCTAACAACAGCACCTACAACAATGACGATTACGACCCCAAGGACGAATAACAATTCCAAGAACAAAGACAGAATTCAAAACAATAGTTCTAAAAATACCCTAAAAGAAAAGATCTTAAAACAATAAATAAAAAAAAAAAAAAAAATGAAGACAAAGACTAAATATACTTCTCCAAATGTTATATGAACATCAAAACTATCACAGATCTATTCTAAAAAAAAAAAAAAGTAGGAAGATCTAGGACTCGATTTAAAAAGAAATCTTAAATCTCGCCTAGCCAAGCTAAAGAAGAGATTGGTATAATGAACTGACTTAAAAAAGCAAAAAACTGTAAAGAATTAAGAACCAGAAAAGTTAAAATATATAGACTAAAACCCAAGACTCAAAATACCTACCCAAAATCTATGTTCGGAAAAAAGCGATTCAAGACGGATTTGCTTAAACGACCAATAGAGAGATCCAAAGCTTGATGTAGAACAAGATTAGATACTCAAAACCTACCAACCTGAGATAAAGAAAAACGCGAAAGACCTAAAAGTATAAGCTAAAAATGAAAAGTAGAAAGGGAAAGAAAACCGAAATCAGTAGAAAATCAGTTAACATATTTATAGGCATTGATCACATGACTTACGTTACGAATGCCAAAATAATCGAAACGGACCCAAAAGCCTAGGAAACCCGGTCTAAGACAAAGAAAAAGATATTATCTAAGTAATAGTTAGAGCCAGAAGACCCTAACAAAAAAAAAGAGAAAGAAGAATTGAAAAAGAAAATAAGAATTTTCGGAGAAAATTCTAAAAGAAGACAAAAAACTCGAAAAAGCAAAAGTTTTATTTTTATTTATGAGAGAAAAATCCTAAGAAAATAGAAAAAGACAATGAAAAGAGAAACTATTCTATACACAAAAACACCCCAACCTCTCCTTACTTTCTCATTTTCCTCCTCCACCCTTCTTCTTTCATTATTATCTCCTTTTCTTCTTCTTCTTTCTTCCCGAACCGACAAAGAAGATCTTGGTAAGCAGTATCACGCTCTTCGAACCAAGTCCAATACCTATCTCGTTCTTCAATAAAAGCTTCTCGCTCCTGCTCCTGATGAACAAATTGCTGCAAATGGTCGAAAGCCATATAGTTGAGCTCTGTAATTGTTGCAGCCTAGTCTTCTACTTGTTGCTGCAACCACCTACAAATATAATATTATAATTAATAGATAATTAATTATTTAATTATCATTAAGTATTTTCTTCTTTACATATATACTTACA